AGGGTGCCAAATACAAGACAAGACATGCGGGAAGCCTGACTACAAGTAGTGTTCCAAGGGATCAGTATTGGGGAAAGTTATCTTTAATATCTGGACCTGGATGAGGGGATCCAGTGTACCCTCAGTAAGTGTGGAAACCTACAAACAGCCCCCTACCACCTTTGTTCATTTCCTGAACAAAGACTAACAATATAAAGAAGGCAGAAGTTGTGACCTATGCTACAACAGAGTAGTTCTCAGCTTTGACGTAGATAATACCTCTAGGATCCTCTCCCAAGACACCAAACTCACATGATGCATCCAGACTTTTCTCCAGAACTTTACTGTCTTCAGTGAGCTGGTGGAAGTTATTGTCCTATGGGAGGGCAGCTCTACACAGTTCTACACAGACTAACAGCACCTGATGCAAATGGTTTTACAAAGTGCTGGGTAAAAATGAAACTGATGTCATATATGGGAGCTGCAGATGTCTGTAAAATGAAAATTAAAACACTCAAGGTTTCACAAAGAACAGTGCCTTTCTGCAGGATTTGGATGGGCTTGTAGAGGTTTTTATCAGCTGCAAATGAAAGCTGGAGCACTACTGAATTATTGGTGCTAATTGCCGGAAATGCTCTTTGTCAACACCCCTGGCCCACCTCTGCTCCTGTTGGTTTGACACAGCACCAGCTTCTACCAGCAGCTCATCAGCATGGCCAGGCCATGGAGATCTGGGAGGTGACAAAGAGGCATGGGGGCAGTGCACAGCCTGGGGGCATGGGGAGCACAGGCCTGCAGCTGGGCTCTGGGAACAGGCTTTGCCTTCCCTGGAGGAAATATAGCCACATCAGGGCCAATCTCCCAGTTAAGTAGAAGAGCAGAGCAGAGCGGTAAATCTGTGCCATGCAGGGAAAGGCGTGCTGGGCATGAGCGGCACCGAGGGACACTCCTGTCAGGGACAGTGGCTGAAGCCCATGGCCAGATGGCACCTCCACCTGCAACGGGAGTAGAAAAGAGGGATCAGGTCACCCACACTGCCCTGATTGTCAAGGTGCTGCCGCAGACACGAGGGACCCCTTCCTGCAGTCAGCAGGATGGCCTCACTGCCACACAGATGCCAACAGAACTCAAGCCATAGACCAGCCCACCCCAAGCAGGAACCTCGGGGCCCTCCCCAAAACCTCATTGCCAGGCCCATTGGCTGCCAGGACCACTAGCATCAGCAGAGCTGCCCAGGCAGAGCCATCCTGAGGAGAAGTGTGCAGCCACATCTCTCACAGTCCCTTTCTCCTGCCACTGCTCCCAGTACTGCATGCTCAGGGCCCCGATGCTGGCTCCATGCAACCCTGTTGCTGCTGCCTCTTCCTCTTCTGTGTCTTTCACCTCTGTAAAACATGGGCAGGCCTGGAGGATAAGTAGGAGCTCTGGCTTATTCACACCTACTCCCATGCCCCTTTGGGACCCCATGCACAACGGGCTTCATGCTCCCAGCCTGCCTTGGGCACTTTGCTCCTCACCCCTTCCTATTCCACTCCTCTCCTGCAGCAATGCACCCACCACAGGTGCATGCAGGGAGTGGGAACTGCAGCTGCCAAGGATGCAAGGGTTTTATGCAGGGCCTGCAGGTTCCTGCATCCCTGATGAAACATCCCTTAGCCCCCAAACTTTTCCCAGCCCTCTACTCCCACTCCCATTTACCCTGATGCTCCTTTCCTATGTAGGGTCCTTCACTTTGCAGCTGCTTCAGACCTCCTTTTTCCAAAATGCATCATTTCTGGATGCAGAGGGGCTGGGGGGGACTTCTTATCC